TTTTTTTTTTTTTTGTGTGTGTGTTTTCGGCCTAAGTCTAGGGTTTAGGGACGAGGGCTTTGGGATATACAGGGTTGTAAAGAGGTTATTTAGAGCTTGTGCAGGGCTTACTTCAGTAGCCGAACAATTATTCGTTTTGTAGGGACTTGGGGATCACATATGGTTTAGGGATTGGAAAAACGGTGGTAGTGGAAAGGAATTTGGAGCTACCATACCCTAAGTTAAGTAATTCTATGTTTCGGTGTCCTGAGAGCTCAGACTCTGGGACTCGAAATGAACCCCCTTTGCATGAGTACCCTCCAGAATGTCAACTTTCTTCAGGATCTGCACGTTGTTGGGTACCCTCTCGAGCATAAAGTTTTCCGGCCCAAAGTGGTAATTTAATTAGCCCAGGGAGCAGGAAGCTGGAGCTTTAAGATTCAGTCCACAGATGCCGATAATTTTACCGAGTCTGACCAAGCCTCAAACATTGTGCGGGGTTTCTGGTGGCATTTGCTATAAATAGTCCACTCTGATTGTCTATTAGGACACATGCAAAAGGGAGCGGAAGACTACCCCAAGGTTTTCTAATCTTCATTACTTATATAGTTATGTAATCATACAGGACCCCGCCCAGTCAAAACGGCACCCATATCGCCGCGAAACACCCAAACATCTCATGTGACAATTGATACTTCCCTCTAAGAGTCACTCGACCCCACCCCTCAAAGAAGAAATCTGCCAAACATAGTATTTTTACGTATATTCAGGGTGTATTCTAGGAGTATGGAATCCTGCTATCATGCGTTTAAGTTCAAAAGGGGTTTATAGGGTTCACTTCCAAAATTCCTTTGTAGCATCGCAAAAGTAGCGAGCCAGAGAGAGATATGTACATATATATATATATATATTATGTGTGTGTATATATGCACACACACACAAAACCCCAAGCCCCAAATCCTACATATATACAGCATACAGGGCTCACAAGGTCTAAGATCCCATCCTTGCATCAGGATATGACTGCAACTTCTCAAAGCCCATCAGCCCCGCGCTCATTGTTACAGGGAGGTAGCCTTACGCAGGAAAAACGAATTAAAGTGGGAACAGGGGGCGGGGTAAATTTCTGAATTACGGGCGCTCAAAAGAGTATAAGATTGAAGGAACTTCCCATGGGGGGGGCCTCAGTTTTTGGAAATACCATAAGGCCACTTAAAAAAAGGTTTTGACACACTGTAGAGCAAAGGGTCTTGATGCTCTGGTATATTCCTAGCCCCCATCTTGATAATACAGTCCTGAAAGGAGTGTAACAGCTTGAACGGATGTCAGTGGCAGGACATGTAGCATTACTCAGTAACGGCTGCAATATGAGCTTTTTTCAAATCTCAGCTCATGAGCCCAGCCTGTTCTATAGCAGTTCAGGGTTTAGGGTTTGGTTTATAATCTTGCAAATCCTGCAGGGAGTGGGATTCATGGGCTTTGCGTCTGCAGGCAGTTTTGGCAAGCAAAGCAAGAAGTAGATAGAATATGGGATCGACATATACGATCATAAGATCCACATATACCCCATATTCTATCTACTTAAGGGGGACTATAAATCCTGAATTCTAAGCCCTGTCTCTTGCAATGCAGCCAAGGCTCCAAGCGAGTTGTGCGCTTGGAAGCGCGAGTCCTGCTCTTAGCCTGGAGAAGCCCCGAACTCTGGGTGGAAGAGTTTAGGGTTCAGGGTTTAGGCGCTTAAGGTTAGGGTAAAGTTTCTCGAAATTCGTGGGTCCCATCTTTGGCGGGCGGAATCGAATTCAGAGAAGGGTTGTGGTGGTCTGAATTCTGCGATTTAGGGTATAGGCTTTCCCCTCCCTGTAGAACAAACGGCTTTCTCCACTTCCCTCAAACATAGGCCGCCGCGTTGCATGCATGCCTTGGGCCTCCTGTGAAAAGAGGGCTTCAGTTACCCCAACCTTCAAATTAGGACCCTATTAAACTATCGTCACGTGATAGTTATAGGGTCTTCACTACAGACGTTGAGGTAACAAAAACTACCAACTACCTTATCAGAGATGAGTGCCCGGCTTCCACATCATGTTCCATGTTCTTTTCCATTTGGTTCTCCAGTATTCCTATATGCACCTATAAAGCGATAAACCTAAACCCCTAAGCCCTAAACGTCTACAGTAATCCCCTAAGCTCTAAATCTTAACCCCTGAACCCTAGACTGCCCAACCCTAAGCCCTACACGTTTTGTGCATACTCCGCTTTGGGAAGCCGCATGATTTCTGTGGATGTGTCTAGTGGCGGATTGAAATTTGGAAGTGCCAGATAAACCTCTTGACTCTTGACTGTGGCAGGCGGAAACGTCCGAAGAAAGAAAGCCTTAACACCTAACCCTAAACTCCTCAAGCCTAAGCCCTAAACCATGAAGCCCTTAACCTTTCAGACCCAAACTCGTAAACCCTTAGCCCTAGTTAGAATTACTCTAGAACCCGAAAGCCCTGAAACCTTAAACCAGTTCCTTAACAGCAGCTCAGTCAAGGTGGAGGGAGCGGAGCAAGGTGAACCACTGACAGCTCCACTCACAGGCCAGCGGGTAAGGTCCAATTTGCCCAAACCCAAAACCCGAGAAACCCTAGAACCCCCAAACCCTAAAACCCTAAACTCTAAAACCCCCAAACCCTAAAACCCCAAAACCCTAAACCCTACGTAAACTCTAATTTGCAGATCCTGCTCAGGCCTTTGGGCTGATATATGGTTGAGGGTTTCGGGTAGAGTTTAGGGCTTTAGAGGTTAGGGTTTGGGTTTTAGAGTTTAGGGTTTGGGGTTTAGGTTTTTTTAGGAAGTAGCCCAATGCCAAACAACCTGCTGGCAGCTTCATGCGTTGTTGCAAGTAGGGTAAGAAGTAATTCCTTTCCGCGAATGAGCCCCGTCTAGCAATAAACGTTTGCAATATTGAACCGTTATATGAGGAGGAGTGCCGCAATGTGCTGCACGAAACAGATATGGTCTCATGTGTTGTGTTTTTGGGGTGTTTTGTTTCTTGTTCTGGGGTTGTCTGAGGAACTTACGTGGAGCATGCAGATGCAGATGGTGGCAGTTTTTTTTGCGTTGGTGGAGAGTTGAGACTGCAATAGTTGGGGGTCCAAGGGTGAAATTCGCATATCGCTGCTAAGAGAGGGATGACCTGCTAGAGGCGTAGGAAACTGGAAGCCCGCACGTCCTGCGCTCAGGGCACAGCTGTGTCCTGCATTCTGCCGCCGTGTCCATGGCTTAGATTCTGAGAGTTCTAGTTTGTACCAGAGTCGGTCACATGGCGGTACGTTCATGAGTCTTTACAAGAGACTCCAAATCTGTGTTGTGTCGGCACCCTAAGCCAAGAATACGCTTTCGGCCTTCTTCTTCAAGAAAATGGGCAGGAGAGATCCACCCTCCACTGACTGGAAGCCCCGCTACACAAGCGAGGAGTAAGTTTGTTTCCCAAACCAGGTTTCCCTTAGCATCCAGTTCATGCGAAGAATGTCCGTATTCAGAGTGGGTATTCAGAGTGAGTATACATTTGGGGTGCCGCCATTTGGCCGGCATTTCCATACAAGCCGTTTGTGGGTGAGGAAACGACTCAGCAGGTGTTTGGTGTTTGCACAAGCCTCAAAACTCCCTACCTAAACCACACACCCTAAATCCCAAACCTCCCGCACCCTAAACCCTAACCAAATTGTGAAGCTTCGAACTTAAGGTCGAAGCAACTCCATGATGGAATGCCTTGGCCCAAGTGTTGCTTACTGGTGTTAGAAGGGGAGAGATGCACGCAATTGAGGGCTTAGGGTAAACAAGTCCAAAAGCAAAAAGGGTTTATCATTCATGCCTCCTGAAGTTTTACCGAGAATACAAATCCTTTTATGCGGGCCCTTGTCACACAATATGTGGTATCTTTTGCTACCATTAAGAACCCTAAGCCCTAAACCCTAATCTTTACAGGAGACCGCCAACGGCCAAAAAGGGCAACTCCGAGGATCCAAGTGAGCTTAGGGTTTAGGGGTTTAGGGTTTAGGGTCTAAACTCCTAGTATTCCCCTTCATAATGGAGAATCAAATGGAAAAGAACATGGAAAATGAAATGGAAACTGAGATTATATAGGGGTTATTTGAGTAGTATTTTATTTGCGGATACTACGGTACCCAATATAGAGTAAGATTATAGCCTCCTTTTGCGGTATAGTATCTTATATAAAGAATACAATCTTACTGGGTTTAACCACCAAAAAAGCGCAACTCAACTGAGCTATAGTCTAAACTCCTAGTATCCCCCTTGCTATTGCCTGTAGTAGTCCCCTATACAATCCTCTATATAACCCCTTTGGAGGAGTTTAGATTATAGTACAATTGGAGACCGGGACTCGAAATGTTTACACCCCTTCGAGGATCCTGATGCTCAAGATTATAGTACGTTCAGGGTGTAGGGCTTACTTAGGGTTGGGGGATGCGCTAGTCTCCCAAAACAAGGGCACCCCAATATAGACCCAATATATTGAAATTCTCTTTATGGGGACGCCTCAAAAATAGAAGGTACACCTAATTTTGGGAAACCCCCATTTAAGGTGAGCAGTACCCGATGCAAGCTGCCAATGGCGACGATTTGTTTCTCTTTGCAGAAGTAGGCCTTGGCGGCGCAACGCGCGCGCGCTCTCTGAAATCGGGGTTCCCCAAGATGCCCTTTAGCAGCAGTGTCAGTTGTGGCTAGCGTTATTAGAATTAGGCTTGCCATTACAGCCCCTAGCCCCTAGGCCCTCTAAACCCTTTGCTGTCTATCAACCCTACATACCTCAGAATTCCTATAAGACTTGCAAACCCCAGAAACCTAAACCATGTAAATCGTAAACCCTATGACCCCTGTAAAACCCTAAGCCCTATCAACCCTAACGCCTTGCTATAAACCCAAAACGCGATGAACCCCTGAAAGCCCTAAGCGCCGTAAACCCTGAAACACGTGTCCGACTGAGGCCAGCTGTGCCCATTGCATTCTCAGCGCTCGGGCCCCCGCTTGTTTGAAATTTAGGGTTGAGGCTTTACAGTCTTTAGGCTTTATCTGCTATCTGGGCGTTGCCAGTAGGATTTTTAGGGTGTTGGTTGGGCGTTTAGGGATGAAGGGTTTAGGAAGTTGATTGTTTGGGAGTTTTGGGGCTTGATGTTGCTGGGGCTCAGCAAGAACTTGAGTTCAAGGTAGTTTTGAGCTTCAGGATTGTTTGACAGATTGGGCTGAGGTTTACGCAGGGTTTTGGCCTCAGCCCTAGAATTCCATGGACTTTGTACTCAAGTATCATCTCTCTGTCAAAAGCAGTCGGAGTTTTGTAGACCTACCTCCGTCTGGCGATGAGCAACCAGACTCTGTTTCATGAGGCCTTGAAAGCCCAGCTCATACCAAGTCGTGCTTTCATTGTTGCTTTTGGTGCGTGTCTGCTACCCTCACCCCAAATAAGTATGGAGCCTTGTGGACCTTGCTGTCCCTTTCTTTAAACAAGTAGTACATGTGGTTCCATTTCAGTTACCCCCCCCCCCGAGTGGCTTACCTGTGTCAAGAATCCGGAAAGCACAGCTAGGGGACACAATGGGAGTCTATGCAACCAATACAGAATCCAGAAGACGGACGCCCAGCACATAAACATGTTAATTCGTGCATACTTCGTGGGTTCCTAAGTCGACCCTTATCCTTAGAGAATCAGCTCCCCGTGGAACCGCGCAATTTGCTGCATTCAACGAGTTTTCCTTGTTGTGCCTGCATCCAAGGCTCCTTGTATTCAGGAAGGTGGAGACCGTGCTTCAGTCATCCCCCCGTCCATATTATATCATCCTCTTGGGGTATAGTATTTTATATAAGGAATATAATCATACTAGGTTCAGCCACCAAAAAAGCACTACTCATATGTGACCTCACCCTGGGGAGCTGCTCAACAGATTTCTTGTTCCTCGAAGGGGCTTGTTCTGCGACAAAAAATCAGTGCAGTCTGAACCCACCAACCTTGGATACCTGGAGACCTTCAATTAGACGTCCTAGACGTCATTGTTATAGGCTGCGCAGAACCTAAGATAGAGCCCAAACCCTAAAACATAAGTAAAGTCTAAACCTCCTGAGGTCCAGCGTGGATTTCGTGGTGAGTCTCCTGGACGATCCAAGCTCACGTCCATGCCTTAGCTTATGCCAGGAGCGCAAAGGTAGAAGTCTGAAGAAATGGATGTAAATGGTACTTGGAAGCTCCTTTACGGGCAGTTTTGTGGGCTATACCAATAGGCAGTGATTACGCGGATTCAGAAAGCAGGTCCCATCATCAGTGCTCCTAGAAATTACTCAATAGAAGAAATGCGTACTACATTCATTGGGGAAATATTCTCTAGGTCCCCGCAGGTGCCAGGGCATGGTAACGTAGAAGCTTGAGTGATTACCACAGTAGTCCCCTATAATCCTGGAAAACTATAGTATAATGTACGTGCCGAAAAGCCTATTTAGGTACCTATATACACTCCTTTTTGAAAGTGCTCATTGCGGTTCATGGGTGCTACGGTCACAGTTTTCCCGCCAGGGTCACCAGATTTGAGTATCTGGAAATGGGCCCCACCGAAAATCCTGCAGGTCCTACGTAAGGCACGTAACCATGAGCAGTGCCCAATAAGACCGCGCGCCAGGCAGTGCGGAGGTTTCTATGGTTGCTCATTGCTTGAGCATCCCATACCGTTACTTTACCTTCCACTTTCCCAAAACGTGAGATGTTTCCATGAAATACTGAAACAGAACGCTGGGAAGATTTCTGGCCGGAACTATGAAGGGGACTTCTTTGACCCTCGGTATTCGGAACTTGATCAGTGCTTCTTTTCAAGCTCGGGTTTCAGATTCCGTGCTGACATAGTTGTTGGGGGCGTGGACTTAAATCCATTGAAACTCCTTGCATGCCGCTCTTTCCTTTTGATGTTTGATGTTTCAAAGATCTCGTAGAATAGGTACGCACAAACCCAGACCCCTGGGCGGATCTAGAAAGTAGAACCTCTTTAAGGGTTCCTAGGAATTACCCAATAGTAGTATAGGGTACCCTAATGGGGGTTCTACTTTCTAGATCCTCCCAGGGGTCTGGGTAGGGAGTTTGAGAACTTGGGCACGGTAGAAGGCATGGGCCAAGTCCCAGGAGGATACCAAACATGGAACCCTTGAGTCCTAGGGT